AGAAGGGCTAGCTTCCAAAGCCTGAGAGGCCTGCAGTGGGCACTCTCCCTCGAGGCTCTTCTGAAGAAGCCAGACTGAACTCAAAGGTCTTAAAGCAAAGGCTGCAATCCCAGTAGGGATTCTGAAAGAAGCATTACATAACCCATACTCCTACCTCCATTGTTCCTCATATGCAGAGCGCCATGGAGCTCCAAGTGGCACACTCTCCAAGCTCTGAGACTGGGATACACAGAAATGTCCTGGGCTAGGCAGGCAGTGGAGGCAGGTGTAGGAGATAAGACCCTCAAGATCCTCCTTCTTTCCCACCAAGCCCCATCTGGCCAAGCAGCCCCTAAGCCCCTCAGCCCCTCTATTTCAAGCATCCTCCAGCCACCCGCTTCCATTCCCTTAGAAGAGAACAAAGACTCAGCTGCCTCGGGCTAAGCCTTAGCATGGCACTCTGTGTCTCCATACTCCTGGAGCCCCCAGCATTTTATTCAGTTGCTTTGACAAGGGACAATGGTTCCTCACACAGCCACTTTACCTCAGCTTCCTGAGAAGATCGATCACATGAAAGCTCATGTCAAGATAGGCTCTAGGACCTGTACACTTTCATGGGCTCCTGCCCCTACCACATGGAGGCCACCAGTCCTGGCCACAAGAAGGTGTCAGCCCTTGATCAATGGCTGCCTTAACCCAATGCAAGTCCCTTTTCTTACCAATCAGATGGCTTCAGAGGCAGGCTGTTCCCTGGCCACAGTCAGCATCCGTTGGTCCACCTGTGAAGCCTCCAATCAGAAATAAGACTTTGGGGAGTCATCAGCACCTGAAGCCAGCAGTGACCTCCTAGTGTTCCCAGTCCCAGGACAGTGGGGTCCCTTAACCCCCACTCAGCTTGCAGCCTCCCAGTCAGAGAGCTTCCCCACCCTCCCTGACACCAACAGGGGAGGCTGGCAGTGACCCAGAGGGGCCCATGCCCACAGCTGCAGCAAGCTCAAGACCCTGGCTTGGAGTGGCACCTGCCCACTGGAGAAGCTGCTGGGCCTGCTGGATGGATGTGTGGCCCTGTCACTGTGGGCCTTGTACACCTCAGGCTATAAGCAGGTGAGGGCTGAATGTTGTGCTGCCTGGCTGTGGAAGCTCCTTGCCTGCCCAGACTTAGGAGTCAGCCCCTCCCAAGCTCCCTGAGGAGCCCTCCCTTACATGGAACATGCATCGCTCAGGGCTTTGTGTCTGGGGACTCAAAGCTGCCAGTTTACTGCTCCCATGCACCTGCCTCCCAGCCTTGGTCACAATCCTGGCCGGACTACCTCACTAGATGGCAAGCCAAGGAGAAACCTGGGAAACAGAAGAGATTCCTGGGGTGGGGCAACGTTGGAGAGGAACCCATTACTTTTTCTCCACAGCTTTCTGAACTTGAACTCTAAGGACCATGGTTGGGGAAGTGAAAGAAGGCAAGAACCCTTGGGTGGCAAGTCATTAGCTCCTTTTCAAGAGGCTGGGATTTCAGCCTGCTACCAGGTACAACAGAGCCCCTTCCATGCACCTCACATCTCTCTCTCCACATGCCCACCTTTCTCTGCCAGTCTTCCTCAGCTTCTGGGAAGCGAACCTGAGACAGAAGAACTGGCATATTGAGTTTCAGCTTTTGCCAGGGCTGGCAGGGGTTTAGGGGCCAGCCCAGTAGGGTAGGCATGACTAGAGGCTTACAGTTTTTCTTACCTGTACACACATCTGGGGAACTACCCCATCTCTCAGTGGGTTGCATGGGGTGACATACATGAGATCATGTACACAAGGCCCAGGACACATAAAAGTATGTGTATCTGCATGTGACAGTGAGAGTTTGCAAGGATGCACACCAAGCTGACCATGGGAGTTAGTTCTATAGAAGGGCTTAACATTTTGGGACAAGGGGATTTGTTAGCTATACTTATAATGTTTGCATTTTTCAGGAGGATATCATCAAACAGGACTTGTGTGGTTTTTAAATGTATGTGTTGCTGCTAGGAATTTACCCAAGGGATACAGGGGTGCTGTTGCATAGGAGCACATGTACCCCAATGTTCATAGCAGCACTCTCCACAATAGCTAAAACAAGGAAAGAGCCTAAGTGTCCATCAACGGACGAATGGATCAAGAAGATGTGGTTTATCTATACCATGGAATACTACATGGCTATGAGAAAGAATGAAATCTGGCCATGTGTAGCAACATGGATGGACCTTGAGGGTGTTATGCTGATCAAAATAAGTCAGGCAGAAAAGGACAAATATCATGTTTGCACGTATAGGAGGATTAGGAGGAACTTAACGGAGGACCATGGGGGAGAAGAAGGGGAGAAATGGTGGGGGAAAGGGACAGAGGCAAACCATGAGAGACTCTTGAATGCTGAGAACAAACTGAAGACTCATGGGTGTGGGGGGGAAGGGGGAGATGGGCATGGAGGAGGGCACTTGTGGGGATGAGCAATGGGTGTTATCCATATAACTTGACAATAAACTATTGGTAAAAATAAATAAATAAATAAATAAATAAATACATAAAAATAAATGTATGTGCTGGCACATAGTAGATGCAGCAAAGAAAGTAGTGGTCAGAATTGACTTACTTTTATGCCAAAGGCTTTTCCACAGGGGGCATGTCCTAAAGTCCAGACTTGTATGACTTGGTGACTTCTACTAGACACCAGGGATGCAGAAAGCAATGGAAGTAGTGCCTTCCTTCTAGCAGCTCCTGATCCAATGTAGGGACCAGCTATGTACACCTCTAATGCAAAGCCTGGGTAGCACATAAGAAGTTTCACAGAAGGATGATAAACAGCACACTCCAGAAAAACCCCCTCCCCCACATCTAAGTATGAAAGAGCCTCTCCCCTCCTCCACTTGCCCAAGAAGAATTTTAAGCCTTCTTGGGAGATGTGTTGGGCTAATGCTGGAGTCCTTGGGTAAGGCCAGAGCAGCTTAGCAGGGAAACAGCTTCAAGGGAGCAGATGCTCCCAATGGATTATAGTCAGAGGGCCTGGTAGGAGGTGCCAACCCCTACAATAGGGCCCATCACAGAACTCTGCAGAAGAACCCACTGCCTATCTCTCAGGCTGCCATGGAGACCAGCATAGGGAAGCTTTGGCTCTAGTTCCCCTCTGGAGGCCTCTGTAGATGGAGTGGGCAGGCAGGGCTGGTAACAGCCAAGCAGTCACACTGCAAGGCAAGGTATGGAGGCCATCCAGGGCCTAGGCAAGTTCTCCACCTTAGCTTACCTAGTCCAGGAGGCATTTCTCCAGAGGGCTGCCACACTGTTTGTTTGCATCTTAGCTAAATTGCTCCCAAGGGCAAACCTTTGTTTCACAACATATTTTCAGCCAGACTTCTTTTCCAAACATGTCCGTGTCTGTTCACACACACATGCACACCCATTTCCCAAAGGACAGACATTGCCCCAGCCCACAACACCCTTCTCTTCCTCAGAGCCTTTTGGCATGGCCGGCTGGAATAGAAGAAAGGGGTGACTTTCAAAGGGCCACTCAAGGGCAGACCTCCTGGCATCCTTAACTCCAGGCCTCAGAAATTTGCTTGGCTGGCCTTCCATGCCTTCAAAGGCAGTGGGGACTTTGGCCTTGTGGCTGTTCCCCTTAATAAGTACCTATACCTTGAGGCCTGGTCTGCCCTGAGGCTGTGGGGAGGAAACTGGTGGCCTGCAAAGAAATTCTCCTTGCCCTCAGATAATTCTTGTGCTCCAGGGCCCATTTGGAGGAGGCATGGGGGCTCCAGCTTCTCCCCAGGCCTCTTGGATTTCCCAACTAGAAGCATTTGTCTCTAGAGCAGGCAAGCCGTCTCCCCATTTCACAGAGGGCCTTCCTCTGGCACCCTATTATGCCTTCTACTTTGAGACTAAAGAGGGAAGCTTCCAACTGTTTCTTCATTAAGTGTTCTTGTCTCTGCTTTCAGCAGATCCCAGACCCCAGTGGCCACATATATGGTATCTCTCAGGGCTGACAGGAGATCCCTGAGAGTCAAGAGGAGAAGAATCCTCTCATTTTATGGGGACCACTGACCACGAGAGATGAGTGGGGCAGGGGCAAAGTAGGCTCATGACTCAAGTCTCTCTCTTTTATTCCCTCTTTCTTTCCGTCCCTCTCCTCATCTTCTCTCTCATCCTCCTTCTCCTTTCTCTCTCTCTCTCCATCTCTTTCTCTTACACACACATATAGTCATGTTCATTTTATATCTAATGATTAACATACTCTCTTACCTTTGTAGTTGGAGAAGCCTTGACAGATTTAGAGGATTGGAGAAAGTCCAGCTAGCCACTAAAGCCAATGAGAAGCTTCTGGGTCCCTACCCCCAAGACATGTGTATTTATCCCTTGGCCCCAAGAAGAGGGGCAACAGCTCTTCCCAAGGCCTCTTGCAGCTGAGCACAACTGCCTTCATATCTGATCAGGCCTAGTTCCATTGTCCTACCAGCAATCCACCTTGTCTGAGGTGAGCTTCATGGGGCCATGGACATTGGACAGAGGAGTTCAAGGTACCTCCATGTAGCTTCTCATTCAGCCTCCAGAGCTGAGTTGAGGCCTTGCCCCCAGCAAGTCTATATGAGACAGGCAGAGACCTAGGCTGGGACACAGGAGAACCCATTCTACCCTAGCCCTGTCCCAGTATTATTGGATGACCCAAGACCATGTTCTCCCTCTCCAGGACTCAATTTCCTCCTGGGTAAATGGAAAAGTTTCTGGTACCTTCCAGATTTACTCTGATTGAGTCCCTGCAATGCATGACCCAGACAAGCTTGCACAGAATGACTTCTCCACAAGCAGTCACCAGCATGAACCCAACAGGAAGGACTTTGCCAATCCCTGCCCCTAAGCAGGCTCTCTGCATGGGTGGGGAACCTTAGGAAGGAGGGGGAGGAGGGTACCAGAACCCCTTGGGTGTGACATCAGCCCAGTCCCTGCAGCAGTGACTTTCTCCAGAGGTGCTATGCCTACAGGAATCCTGGATGTAAGAAATTCAGCCACCAGAGTTTGCTGCTATCAGTGAACTTTTATTGAGCATGTTCTCTATGCAGAGCCCTGTACACAACTTGGAGAAAACTGGGAAGACAGACAGCCAAGCCCCTGCCACAGAAGGTGGAACAGAAGGGATGCTGAGGGCACAGAGGAAAGGTTCAGCTCTGAGATGGTCACCATGGAGCCGTGATGGACAAGTAGGAAGCACCTGCCACTGGTGTTATTGTGGGGACTAGATGCCACCCACCCTCCTCTCTCTCTGAAGTTGCTGCACCTCAGCCCATTCAGACCTCTACCTCCCAGCAGCCAGGGCCTCCCCCAGGCAAGGGGTGTAACCAGAGTTGGAAAATGGCCTTGATGCTGCTAAGAGCTGTGGGGATATGGAAGGAGGATGGGCAAGGGTGAGCCAGGGAGAAAAGGGAAGAACAAGAAGGAAAAGAGGGCTCAAGCAGCATGAGACATCACTGGCGCATCCACAGCCACAGGTTGGCGACACAGGCCGACATCAACATGGTGAAGAACATAGTTTCCCTGTGGCGCCAGGTGGCGCTCTGTTCCTCCAGGGCTCGCAGACGGCAGGTGATCCCGTGCAGCTGTAGAGACCAGGAGGCTAATGAGTGAGAAGACCATAGCTCCTGAGGAAGCCCATGGCTCACTACTAGGGAAAGTATGAAGTTAGTAGAGAAAGGGGATTTGCTGCCCTTTGCAAGACCAAAGTGCCTCTGGGTGAGAAGCAGACAGAACAATGGAAACCAGGAGGCTAGGGTGGGCCCATGAGACAGATGTCCAGGCTATTTGTGTTCACAGGCCAAGCCACCTTGCCTGCCCATTGGTGTTCACCCAGTTGTCTGGAAGAAGCCAGCTGGTCCCAACTGTGCTGGGGGAGGTGGGGAAAGGCATTTCAGTCCTGGGGCAGGCTGGCATGAGAGCAGCAGCAGCAACAGCACCAGACTGAGGACTCCAGGATGGGTGACACTCAGGGTTCAGAGACAGCCACCAGGGCAGATTCCCCCCCAGGTCCAGGGCTGCTGTGGTCTCTTCCTAAGAAGACAACCTTTTCCCCAGACCTCCTAGCACCATTCTCTCTGCACAGAGTTCTAGCCTTTTCTGTTGCCTCTTGTTCTTCCTTTTGGCTTACCCTATTCCCTTCCCACAAATCAGGAAGAGAGACAGGGCTGAGGCTATCATGAAGATGAACCACTGGAGGCTTGAGGCCTGGGAGGAAAGGAAGGGGAGCGTGACCTCACCTCTGGTGGTAGAGGCTAGGATGACTTCAAAGAGAGTGGTCTCATTGCTGTTGAGCCCCACTTGCCCCAAGATACCATGATCCTGCTTCCACCAAGTAAGTGGGTCCATGGCATAGGAGATGCTCACCTGCCTTCTCATAACTTCCATCTCTAGTTCATTTTGCTCTTCCAGGCCAATCTCTGCCACCATATCTGCCTCTGGGTTGCTGGGAAATAAGAAAAGATAGAGAGTCAGAGCTACTGGTGGTCCTGAGCCAGGCCTGGCAGGGAGCATAGGAAGGCCATGAGGACAAGCAGGTAAAGTCAGGGGCTTTTTTAGACAATGACTCTGTCATCCTTGAGTCCTTCCTTTCCCTGATAAGAAGGTCCTGGGGCCTCAGGGTTGGGAGCCAGCCCAGCCCAGCCTCAGATTGCTCAGAGTCCCTGAATGGGCAAGAGGCTAGGAGGCTCAGGGGCTATGCTAAGAAGGCAACAGAGTCTCAACATTCCAAGCATGCCAGCTACTCACAATACCCTCCAGGTCAGTCTGCTTGCCAGCCCATCTGGCCCACCATGGTCCCTGCCCAAAGAGCGCCAGCTTTATTTCTGCAGGGTCCCTGGGACCTTTCTTACCGCTCATAATGGAACCTCCTGCCTTGGAAACCACCATGATACCCCTGGAGATTGACATCACCGTGGCCCGGTTCTTTCAAAACTCTGGGTATTGACAGCTGGGGCCCCTAAAGAAAAGAGTGGTCAGCAAAAGAAGCCTACTCGGTCTCAGCTGAGCAGCTGCCCCACACTGCCCAAGAACAATGGTGTACTCTATCAGGAGTCACGTGGTGCCTGATCCTCTGGAATCAGAGGCTGGCAGCTTCAGACACTAGAGGAGCCTGGAAATCCCACAAGTTGGTTAATTGCCACCACTCCAACTTCCACCATGCTCTTCAGTAGCTTTCCAGGTTGTGGGGAAGGAAGGACAGTGACAGGGATCCCCATCCTCTGCCAGTACTGTCACATACAGACATCAGCTGAGTCCAAAAGGAGAATTGAAATTTTCAATTTTATTTTATTTTTTTTATTTTTTTTAACGTTTTATTTATTTCTAGGAGAGAGAGAGACAGCATGAGCAGGGGAGGATCAGAGAGAGAGGGAGTCACAGACTGAAACAGGCTCCAGGCTCCGAGCTGGCAGTCAGCACAGAGCCCGACGTGGGGCTCGAACCCACGAACCGCGAGATCATGACCTAAGCGAAAGTCGGATGCTTAACCGACTAAGCCACCCAGGCGCCCCGAAAATTTCAATTTTAGAGCCAAGGTAACTGAGGCCTGGTAAGTGACTGCACTTCCCAAGAACACACAGTAAGTGTCGGAGCTCAAAACAGAACCCTAGCCACTGGAATACCATAGTCTCTTTCTCTGTGTGAGCACAGACATCCAAGGGGCTTTCACTTTTATTCATCTGCTAGTGACTCCCTGGAGTGGATGCCTCTGGCCAAGAGCTCTGGGTCTAGGGTATTTTGTGCCTTGAAGAGCCAGTGTGGGTTAGAGGAACAAAACATGCCAGACCCACTTGGGTTCAAATCTCAGCTCCAGGTTTCCAGTGCAAGATGAAAAATTACACAAGGTATATGGTTTAACACATGTCACATGTCAGGGACCATGCCATCCTCTAAGCCCTTACCAATATCAAGTCATTACATCTTCATCAGGACCCTTCAGAACAGGTATTACTATCATTACATTTTGAAAGATTGGAAAACTGAGACACAGAGAGGTCACAATACTTGTCCAAGTCACACAACTGGCGAGTAGAAAAGCAGTGATTTAAAGCCAGGACATTTTGCTCCAGAGGTTGCACTGTCAACCATTACACTAGTATGCCTCTGATATTTGACACCACTTCCCCTTCAGACTTCATAAAATGAAAGTAAAGACAGCAAAATAGTATAAACTTGTAAGAAAGACGATAACATGAGAGGCAACAGGTGATGAGAGAACCCACCAAGACTACAGCATTCATAAAGTGTTGAGAACAAACCAAGGGAAGTGGACCTTATGGTTCACAGAGTACCCAGATCTGGAGGCTGCAGGGACACTGGGGTGGTCTCAAGGACCCATTGGGAAATGGGGGTGGGGTGGGACAGGGGCCTTGGCTGAAGGTCTATAAGTGGAACAGCCATTCAGCCCTCTAACCAAACCTGGCTGTCAGCCAGGCACTTCCCCCTCAAGGCCAAACTTGAGCTAAATGAATAGAGGGGGAGGGGTGGTTGTGCCACAAAGCAGAACCCGCTCCATTCCGGCATTTACAGTTGCCCTTTGCACAGTCCACCCGGTAAAGTAGAATTTAATGTCTCTCAGGTCTCACCAAGACACGTAGTTCTGGGTTGGCTCTATTTCCCTCACTCTTTTTTTATGGTTCTATTTGCCTCACTCTTAACAAGAAATAGACAACTAAGGTTCACCTATCACCTGAGAAATATCTGCAACTCTCCTATGTTCTTCAAAACAACAGTAAACTACAAGGTGGAACAATTTCTATATAAAAGATTTTCATAGGGACTTGTCCTCCATATTCCATTTGTTGTATTAATGCAAAATTTCCCATTCTCAGAAGTGCACACAGATATTGGTATGTCTTTTGGTGTGAACGGTACTTAACAGTCATACTACTATTTGATTTTCCTCTTCATCTTCTTCTTGAGATATCTCAAAAATAGCATGAAAGTGACAGTATTGTCAAAAAAACCCCGAAGACTATAAAGTGGAATTTGATTGAGAGTTTCTCCGAGAGCAATTTCCACACCATCCCCTTGATTTTCCTACAGATTGGGATCAGAAGGACAAAAAGTTTTTTTGAAAGACTTGAAGGCACAAAAGGATGAGACACTGGTGGCTGGGGTTTGTTTGAGATACCGGTTTGTTTTTAACACAAACATACAAGAATTAATGTGACAACATCTACAGGTCAATGATAGCCTATTGTGGGTTGCTCATCCTAAGACCTAACTGTTTAAAAACAGTTGTCTTGTTGCTTTTTTGTTTTTAATTTTGGAAACTCCCTATTTGGAATTACATGCATTGTAAAACATAAGATTTTATATCTATCTGATAAAGATTAAGAAAATCTGTGAACTTCAACAAGTCCTAACTTCTCCCTACTATTTCAAAAAGTGTTATTTTTATTTTCATGTAAATTTCATTTTTTATTAAAAAATTTTATAGTTTATTTATTTTTGAGACAGAGAGAAACAGAGCATGAGCAAGGGAGGGGCAGAGAGAGAGACACACACACAGAATCTGAAACAGGCTCCAGGCTCTGAGCTGCCAGCACAGAACCCGACGTGGGCTCGGACCCACGAACCACAAGATCATGACCTGAGCTGAAGCTGGACGCTCAACTGAGCACCTCTATTTTCATGTAATTTTCAAGGCCCACTACTTTTCTCCCCCAAATCAGCAGGACAGTATTATTACTTTTTTTGTCCTTTCATGTTGTGGTTGTCTCAGAAGTGGGCACAGTTCCATTCATTTTTTTCTTTGTTTGTTTTACTCAAAAATAAATAATAAATAGAATTGATAAATTGCTTAATTCTAAATGTCTAATTTTTAAATTCAATACGACTGTTTTTTTTTTTTTTTTTAAGGTATACCTGTGGTCCTAATAGGTAACTTGATGTGGTTTCTCCCTTTGGACAAAATAACCCAATTCAATATTTCTGACTTATTTTCATTCCCAGGAGGTTTCTGAGAACTTTTTCTCTTTATTCTTTGGCAGTGGAATCATTTGGCATTTTATTGTTAACTCATTCCCTAGAACAGGGGGGCCTCCCTCCTCTCCAACCTTGTTGCTGCAACACTGTAACAACCATAGTGACTCTGACTAACAGAATCCACTGCAGAACTACCAGACTCAAGTGATTCCCTAGAATTATCATGACTTCCCCCTCTCCAAAATGGCTGTGCTTTTCCAGTACCCTTTGCAACAATATGGCCACCATTTTTTTTTTTTTTTTTATAGACCATTCCCTCACCCAGAGTGAATGTAGCTTAAAGGATTAGCTACAGAACAATGGGACTCAGGTGATTTCCTAGAACATTGAGTCTCCCTCCCTCTCTAACCTGGTTGCGTTTTCCCAGTAACCTTTGCAACAGTATAAAAACCGTTTTAGTAAAACTTTCCCTCACCCACAGTGAAAGTAGCTTTAAAGGATTGGCTACAGAACCTGAAACTCCTATGATTCCCTCAAACAGTCAGGTTCCCTTCATCTCCAACTTGATGGTTTTTTTCCAGTAACTTTTGCAACAGCATAGCAACCACGTTTCTAAAACTTTCCCTCACCCACCAGTGAATATAACTTCAAGGACTGGCTACAGAATGAGATATTCCCTAGAACATTCAGGTCTCCTTACTCTCCAAACTGCCTTTTCCCAGTATCCTTTGTAACAATATAGCTGCCATTTTTTTTCTGGAACATTCCTTAACTCACATTAAATGTAGCTTAAAGAATTGGCTACAGAATAGTCAGATTCAATTGACTGGATTTCCTGACAGCCAGGGAGTATAGGAACCTCACTTGCCTTACTTTGTCCAACTCTTGAGTTATGCTTTTTTAAATATATATATATATGTGTGTGTGTGTGTGTGTATAATATATATTCAATAAATGTACATTTATATAGAGAAATATATAAAATAGATACAGCAATTTATTTATTTATAGAGGAAAGTGCCATTTCACACACACTAGAGTTTTGCAGAGTAAAGTATACATGTAGTCCCCAAGTAATATGTCAGGTGTCCTGCACTTCCAAGTTTGAACTTTCAGCCTACCAAAGGATGGCCCTGACCTCTCTCTGGACCTCCCTGCCTTCATTGCCTGACTGGCACACAGGAGCCTCCTCCCCTCTCCCCAAATCAACACCTGGCTTTACTCAACCTACCACTGTCAGGCTGGAGCTTGTGCAGCCAGTATTCCCAAACCCAACCCAGCAACTGCTTGCCAATAGATCCATACAGTACCATTTTCTTGGCCCGGGTCGCAGTCTTATTCCAAACCGGTTGGCCTGAAGCAGAGCCAGCAGCCTTTGAATCCAATTTTTGTCGCTGCTGAGAGGCACCCAGGGGCTGGGATCCGCGCTCCATCATTTCTAGGGAGAAGAACATAGGTCCCAGGAACACCCATAGAGGCTGTACCAAGGCTTCCTGGGCACAAGACACACCAGAAAGAGAACAGCGTCCCCAATCTTCTTAGGAATAATTCAACACTCACTCAATGCTGTCTACTGACAGATTCCAGGCCTCAGTCTGTTCATCTGTTCAAAAGTTTAGCAAGAATTTACTGAGGGCCAGGCTCTTGACTGGGTTACTGGAGGGAGAGCAATGACCAAGAGATATTGCAGCAATCAAATAACTGATTGTCTGTGTCTGCACAGGGGCAGTGGAGGGGCAAAACAGAAAATAATCCATCAGTGTAGATTCAGATGAGGGATATATTCTCCCAAAATGATAAAAACGGAACAACATGACAGAAGGAAGAGACAACTTCTAGAAAAGTCAGAAACAACATTGAGGCAGAGACCTGAAAAAGAAAAAGAAAAAAGATCCCAGCCATGGAAAATCTAGGGAAACAGTATCCCAGGCACAGAGAACTGCAAGCACAAAGGCTGTGAGGAAGAAACAACCTTGGGGTGTTATAAGGACAAGCATAAATGCAGTATGAAATATGTTGAGGTGGTGACCTTGATCAGCATTTGTAGATCACAGAAAGGAGTATGGATTTTACTCTAAAGGAGGAGAGGCATTGAAGGGCTAGGAGGGAGAATTGACCTGATTGATCTTATAAATCGAGCCCTCTGGATGCTTTGTCATAGACACAGTGGAAGCTTGTACCATACATATTGGTCCCATCCTACTCTCTCATGGGCTGCAAAATGCTCACATAATCAATTCCTTCCCCCCAAACTTTCTGTCACTCAGACTACAAATACATGTATATGCACACCGAGGCACAGACACACACATAGCCACACATACATACAAACACATACATGGATATATATGAGTCTTCCCAGCTGTACACACACCTTCCCCACCACAAGGGCACAGGCGCAGACACCTAAGGAAAGGGACTTTACAGGGGCTCCTCACCTGCTATCACCAGGTGCTTTTGGCTTTGCACACAGCTTCCAGGAACCAGCGCTTCAGCCATGGATGTTTCCATCTCCTCCTTGTAGCTATAGGGACCTCCTGCCATTGCAGCCAGTATTTCACTTTTAAACTATGACCAAGGATATACAGGAAGCAGGGCACAGGAGAGGCACTTGGAAAATCAACTCTTCGAGGGGTAGGAGCTCAAGGAAGATATATCTAGTCATGGGGGTGGAGTCAGACTCCCTCACTGGGCTCAGGCCTTGGACCCAGCACCTTCTGTTCTTGCTGTATCTTGTTGGCTGGGTTCACAGATTTCTCCCCTGCTACTCTGTAAGCAACTTAGGAGGAGAGATAAATGTCAGAAGCTTTGCCTGTGAGAAGTACCCTGGCTCTCAGGTCACCTGATTTGGCCCCATTGAGGGGCCACCCTCCGTCATTTCTAAAGAGAGGCAGGTACTGGCACGGGAACTCAAAGCCAATCAGTAGCCAAAGCATGGTTATATCCCAAGCCTGGCATGACTTCTGTAAGCCCAGCTCTGGCTGGTAATCCAGGCCACAGCACCCTTCAATAGGCATCCTTTGAAAAACACATCTTGTCTCCCACAGTCTGGAGTTCCCAGGCAAGGGAGATGGTCTTTTGATGCCGTGAGTCAGCCTGGGAAGGAACCATGAGAACCAAGGGAGGGAAGGGCAGGAAAGAAGGGAACTGCTTGCAGCCACTGGAGGCCCTACCATCCCCAGGCCCTGGAGTCCCTGGTCTAAGTCCAAATCATCCCTCAGTTTCCCTACTGATTAGACTACAGTGAAGTTCAAGTTTACTTGTTTGCTGGGGTAATCTATAGTTCTCAGTTATTTCATCAAACACTAGTCTAGGTGCTGCTGTGAAGGTATTTTGTAGTTGTAGTTAACATCTACATTCTGTGAACTCTAAGTAAAGGATGTTACTAATCCTAGATAATGTGGATGGGCCCCATCTAATAGGTTGAAAGGCCCGAAGAGCAAAGATTGAGGTTTCCCAGAGGAGAAGAAATTTTGCTCAAACTATAGCATTGGGAAACAAAAGCAAATGTAAGCTACTAGGATTACATTAAAATAAAACAGTTTGGCACAGTGAAGGAAACCATCAACAAAACAGAAAAGCAAGCCAGTGAATGGGAAAAGATATGTGCAAATGATGTATCTGAGAAAGAGTGAATATCCAAAATATATAATGAACTTATACAATTCAACACTAAAAAGAATCCAATTTAAAAAGGGGCAGGGGACCTGAATAGACATTTTTCCAAAGAAGACATACAGATGGCTTAACAAAACATGAAAAGATGCTCAACATCACTGATAATCGGGAAAATGTAAATCAAAACCAAGAGGAGGTACTACCTCACGCCTGTTAGAATGGCTACAACTAAAAAAGACAAGAAGCAAGTGTTGGTGAGGATGTGGACTAAAGGAACTCTCATGCACTGTTGGTGGGAATGTAAATTGGTAAATGTAAACAGAATTGAGTTTCCTCAAAAAATTAAAAATAGAAATACCATATGATCCGATAATTCCACTGCTCGGTATTTACCCAGAGAAAATGAAACCAAACCACAAAAAAAGAAAACGAAGGGGTACTTGGCTGCCTCAGTCAGTTAAGCGTCCAACTTTGGCTCATATCATAATCTCATGGTTTGTGGGTTCAAGCCCTGCGTCGGGCTCTGTGCTAACAGTAGCTCAGAGCCTGGAGCCTGCTTCTGATTCTCTGTCTCCCTCTCTCTCTGACCCTCCCCTGCTCATGCTCTCTCTCTGAGAAATAAATAAAACATTAAAACAGTTTTTAAAAAAAACAAAATGAAAACACTAATTTGAAAAGATCATGCACCCCTATGTTTATTGCAGCAGTATTTAAAATAATTAAATTACGGAAGCAACATAAGTGTCCACCAATAGGAATATTGGATATTGAATAAAGAAGATGTGGCTTACAGGCTTCCAGTTAGGAAATTAGTAAGTCATGGGAATAAAAGGCACGGTATGAAGAACATCATCAGTGGTACTGTAATAACATTGTGTGGTGACAGATGGTAGCTACATTTGTGCTGAGAATAGCATAAAGTATAAACCTGTTGAATCACTATGTTGTACATCTGAAACTAATGTAACATTAAGTGTCAACTATACTCTAATTTAAAAAAAAAAAAGTTTTTTCAAAAGACTGAGGCATCTCTCCCTGCCTGAGATTCTCCTGTGCAGGTCTGCCCTGCAAATTTTGGCCTTGATAGTCCCACAATGGCAGAAGCCAATTTCTTAAAATAAATCTCTATATACATACACATATTCATATGGATACACACACACACACACACACACACACACACACACACACATATCCTTTTGGTTCCTTTTCTCTGGAGAACCCTTACTGATACAACCACCAAAGGTGAACCTTGGCTCTTGCAAATAGCACTAGAGTCCCTGTGGGAAGAGGAGGCTATTTGTAAAAGGAGCCCAAGCACAGCTGGGGCTAGCGGGGAGGGAGAGGAGGAAGCAGGGGGAGAAAGAGAAAGGGAGGAAGGAAAGGGTAAGAGAGAAAATGGAGGGGCTGGAACTTGCTTAGAGATGGTGGCATGGTCTGGGCTGCCAGTCCCCCTCCCTGGCACCATCTGTCCAGCCCTGGGACTAAGCTCTTTGGAACAGAGCTGACATGGGCCCTGCCTGCCTTCCAGAGAGCCCGGAGGAAGCCTTTCCCAGATCCAGTGGAGCAGCTGCAATGAAATCTGAGCTTTCTGGAAGGCCACCTTAGGAGCAGAAAAGTGTGCTTTGTGGGACTCAGGAGCCTGGGAAGCAGAAACCATGAGCTTCTGCCTGGCCAAGGTTAGAATGCCAGATGAATCTGAATTTCAGATAAATAAACAAATAATTTTTAATGTAAGTACACTCTGTACAACATTTGAGACAAACTAACACTAAAAATGTATTCATGGTTTATCTGGAATTCACATTTGACTGGCTATCCTTTATTTTATATCTGGCAGTTCTATGCCCTACCAATCCTCACCATGTTCTCAAGATTTGACCTTGAGCAAGCCTTTCATTTCTTTGGGCCTCAGTCTCCCCATTGGACAATGGAGTTAACAATCCCCTCCTTACAATGTGGGAAGAACTGGACGGTGAGAACATTAACAAAACTTTGCATTCTTGGCCTCAGGTCAAATTAGTCTCCTAGTGCCAACTGGCCTTGAACAGTTGGGGGGTTTCCTGAGAACTAAGGCACTGGGCCCAGGTGCGTGCAGGGGCACTGCGCTCTGGTGGCAAAGGAACCCACCACCTAAAGCCAAGCAAATAGGGTAGGGAGAATTCCTTACTAATCCCTGTGCCTCCAATGCCACCCAGAAATCTTGACATCTCACCATCTTAGTATGCCTACCTCTCTTCGAATGGGCACCACAGATAACTAGGCAATGGGGAAAACACTTTGCTGTTGTTGACTTTGGACTTGTCCCTTAGCATAGCTTTCTAGCATGCTAACCTTTTCCTTCCAACCTCATCATTTCCTTCTGAAATTGCCTCAAACTCTCACTCCAAACACTCTGAAAAGACCCTACTGCCTAGTGTACCAACCTTGACGGTCTGAAGGCCTAGAGCATTTGTAGAGCACATTCCAAGCCTTATCAGGGCCAGGAAGATGGCCCGTGGCTCATGTAGCTGGTGGATTACAGGGACCTAGACTGTGGTGGAAGGTTTCCAGAGAAGAAGACCAGAGATCCCAAAACTCTATCCACCTCAGAGATTAGAGAGATCTATTTGGAAATGGGAAGGAGAGGTCTAGAGAATGTCTGTTTGTAATGTGTATATATGTTTGCAGTGTTTTACACAAATGAGATCATACATTTGAGGTATGTGCAGTTGTGCAGTTTCCTTTTTTTTTTATATACATGACACATAGTAGGAAAGCCCTTATAGAAGCTTAAAAGAAAAACGCACAGAAATGTGTAACCATACATGTACACATTTATATGAAGGGAAGCCCAGGGGATTCTTATCTATCACTCTTTCTCTGTATTTTTAAGGGTTTCATGGAATTTTCCCCAAGTTTTATTGAGAAATAAGCAATTTACTTTTCAAGTGCACAGTGTGCCTTGGAGCTCACTCCTGTCAGAACAAATCTTCCTCACATCTTTTAAACATAGCTTTTGCTGCACAGCTGAGCCCCCACTTATTGACCTGCTCATGGACATTTTGGGTGTCTAGAACTTTTCACTTCACCTTCATACACAATAAACGGTGAGCATTCCTGGAGATGCTACTTTGCAGATATGTGTAAATTTTTTTTGTAAAGCAGGTGCCTAGAAGTGGAATTGTGGCCTTCTAGGGTATGTGTGTTGACAATGTTTACTAATATTGACCAATATTGTCAAGGTCCCTCCTAAGAGACTGCACCAAGTAGGGCCTCAGCATGGAGAAGAAAGTTCCATTTTTTTTTCATGGCCTTATCAACAGAAGATATTATGAAACTTCCTAAAATGCATAATTATGATAGGTATAAAATGATACCTATCTCATTGTTGCTTTAATTTATATTGCTTTAATTATGAATAAACCAAAGCAATTTCTCATATGTTTATTGATCTTCTGTATTTCTTTCCTGTCTGCTGGAGGGCTTGGATCTTTATTAAAATAGGAGCTGTTTTATTAGCAAAACGGATGGGGAGGAAAGCTCCCCCTCCCTTCAAACTAAGCACCTCCAAAGAAAACATATCATAGTTTTCCCTAAAGGTGATCATGAGCACAGAGCCTCCTCTGGGAGCCAAACAAATACAGTTAATTGCCTTCAAGTTTGTGCTGAAATCTAGAGGGCATCCAGCCACCCACCCCCAACACACCACAGAGCAGGTGTCTAACGCAGGCTGCTGCCTGCCTGTTTGCCCTTGTCTTGTGTCTGTCTCTCTGCCTGCCTGACCACCTGCCTTCACCAATATCTTCCAACCACCACCTCTTCCAACAGTGCAGCTAGCCATGCACATGACTCAGTTTCCCAACAAGTGGGGATCAGGAAGTCGTATGTGCTGCTTGCTTACACCTCCTTTGCAAGCAGCAGTGAAGGGTAGCAGCAACCCAGGCCCAGGGTCAGTACACTAGGGAGTACTCCTACCTCTGACACTGGAGCATCTTAGGCAAGTTGTTTCCCATGCTCTGAGCCTCTGTTTCTC